AACTAGAAGAAAAAGTTTTTGAAATTAAATTCAATAAAAATTTTAACTAACGATGTTATTAAATTGATCAATCCCTCACACCTCTAATTTTAAATAGATATAATAAGTATACGTCGCCTGTCAACATTTCCAGTTTTTATAAATACATTGCATTCTGTATTTCAAATGGTCTGGGTTGAATTTTCATAAAATCCAAATCTCAACGCAACCAGAGTGTTAAAGAGTACGTCTCAGTCCCATCACTAACGTCAGGCTACTGCACTAATCCAAGACCATCGTGATCTTCAGAAGGCGGGATCAGGCGGTTGTTACAATGCGTCGCGTGTCCGATCTAAATCACTTTTCACTGGCACGCTTCGCCTAGTCTACGCGTCAGGGTGCTTTCCTCCGTTGCTTTCCATTTCAGAGAGAAAAGCGCTCCGGATTCCTGGCGACGCACTCGCCATTTTCCTCGCTTCCGGCGTTCTTCTTACCTCTCTAATTATCGTCTGCTTGTTTGCTTCGTTTGTAATTTACAATCCACTCTATGACCTTCTCTCTTCCACAATTTTCTATTTTCCTTTCCATCGAGGAAAACGAATTTTCGTACCTTGCATCGAAGTTTGTATGAATTCCCGCAAAATTGAGGGTGAATGTTAGTCTGTTGTTTTTACTAAATTCTAGAGAGAGAGAAGGTTATATAAATATTCGGACAATTAGGAATGTGTATATGGTAACTAGAAGAAATTTAACATTTGAATATGTCGTTACTGGTGTGAAGTAAATTTACATAAATAGCTTGATTATCAGTTTCAAAGTTCATTGATGATAAAGAGGGTAATAGATGAGTTATAAGTATATGGAAAATCCTCTTGGCGGTCAACATGTTTATTCTGAGCTAAAGTGGTTTGTTCCGTGCCTATTGATTATCAATCTTTTCGATAAGAAAATTTCCTGTGGTAAATATTTTGTTTGGTGCTGATGATTGATGCGATGATTGGCAGAATTTTATTGGAACAAAGGTGAATGAAAGTATAATGATTTAATCTGTACGTTTATCCCATTGAACAGCTATCGAGATAAGCGTTGGACGTGGAATAGAATTTCATTCAATGAAACTCAGAATTACATTACAGTGGGTGATCAAATTATTATTGCTTCGTTATTTCAATATTATCTCGACGGCTTTCTTTTATTCTATTTTTTATTTTACTAGAATAACGTACCTATCTAAAGTATTATTAAACGCATAACTGATCGAAAGTTGATTTCTCTCGAAAGTTTTGTCTAAGTAAGAAAATTTCTCATATTTTGTTAATTAGCTGAAATTAGCATACTAATTTCCCAGCATTTCTTCGCGAAATATTTCATCGTGGACATAATGGAATTCGCAAAACAGCTCCTGGACCATATTCGTCGAGCATTCCAATATAGAAAATCCCGAAGCATGTGTAACGTTAAAATAGAACTGTTTTTCAGTACACGTACAATTGCGGTTTCATTTATAGTTACTGGCAGGTAATTTCACGGAACGCTACGATCTGTAATCGATTCTCGATAAGTCGAAACAGGTTTCAGCCAATAAGATTTCGTCAGGAGGTATGAAATGTCACTTCCTGCACGCATCGTTCAGTAATTACGACCAGTATCGATCATGCTCTCTCTTGCGCACGCTGCATCAAAAACATTTCGAGCGCATATTCATTGGGATCGTACTTACAACCCCATTGAACTTGTCTTACGTTCGAATCCTGTTGATTCGATCGAACCCCATTGATCGTCAGGTGCTTTCGCCTCGATGATCGTCTTATAACAGGTGTCGCGTTTAAAATGGTACAACCCCTTGACTTACTCAACAAGAACGATATTTAGTGAATTTTTTACTGGGAATACTTGTGTTCGATTGAAATGAATTGTTTACCGCGTGGAAAATTCTATACTTATACCATGGCATGAATAAAAAGGCAGATTTTCACTGAAGGATTATATTAGAAATTCTAGTAAGTTATAGCAAAGCTATCAAACTTGATCTCTCTCGCACCGTTCTCAGAGTTATCGATGAATTCGCCGAAAAATTTATTCCAAGATCCGGATCGGAAACGATTTCTCTCGGAAGTAACTACTGGAAATTGAGTTTCCGCAGTCTCAGAGTTCCTTGTTAGCCAAAATCCTAATTTAAGCAATTTCATTCCCGATTAAAATCATAATGATACTCGTGATAGTTGCTAGGGAATAAATGGAAGAATGCACCTCTGGATGAATGAAACACGTCAGATTGGAAAGTTACGCGAAGATGAGGATATTAAAGCTATGATTCACTCGCTACGTCTGGTGCATAATTAAGAAAAAAAGATGTGGACACTGATGAACATCTTGCACAGTGGAATCTCCATTATCCAAATTAATAGGGAGTCATGTACGGGTGGTCGCTTGAAGAAATTTCTAGATAACAGAGTACAGTTCAAAATAACAGAAAGAGAATTTGTTAAATGTGCCTGAATCTAACATCTTTTGGCCTGCTAAGTCTCGTAAGTATTTTAGTATTACTATAATAATTCTAGCTGTCTCGATATTATGTAATTCTTACTCTTCGATGCATTAATCATTCTACTTCTTTCATGCACATAATTTGGTCGTAATTAGGCAATGTAGAAAAGATAAAAATATAGGGAAAGCAAAGTATGCACGCAGTAGTAAAAAAAGCAAAACAAGAAGTGCATAAGAGGCGAAGTGTAACTTGAGTGCTCTTGCAAAATCTAATCACATGAGTACCACTTCGATGTCATGTTTCTTCTGGTAAATTCTTGTCGTATGTAATTTCTACAGCTGTGAAAGAGTGTTTCTTATCTACGTAAAAATTCTTATTAACGTAACGATTAGAATTTTGATTACAGAGTCAAGCATTTCACAGAGGACACATAAAAATTGAATTCATTCAAGTAAACGTCACGAATCGTCGTCATACTTTCACTCGTTCGTTAACTAATATTCGAATAAAATTTTGTTTATCTTCTACGTCGCTTTCGTTTTAAGTCTAGGCTACCAATTTCACAAACATCTTCCTTGTTCGCACACGTGTCAATATCTTCGAACAACGGTATAATTATCTAACGACGGTGTTAATCTGATCTAGCAGATATACACGTCGGATATAGTGTCGCCTTAATCTCCTGGTAACATTTTAATCCCCCCAAGTCAATGGTGATTAATTCACGAAACGATTACGTTTTCGCAGCTAACCGACAAGTATAATTGATCGTAAATTGTAGCCGACCGTCGAAATGCGGTTAATTAGAGAAGCCACCGCGAGGGTCTGCCCAAATCGAAGATAATTAATATAGTAACGGGCTAGCATTCTCTAGATCTCTCTTTAAACGAGTCAACAAACATGTTCCTCGGGACTAGCACATCATGACTCGACGATTGAGACGACGTATTTTCAAATTTCGTACCTAAACATTAAAACGTCCAGCAGTTATAGCCGGTCGAAATATATCGTGGAAAAAGGTGGAAAGGAGAAATCGATGTACAGATCGGACAGCGTAGCAAATATTTACTCGATAAATATGCGAACTGCTTGAATAAATCTCGTTAGTCGTCGCTTTATTCGTTCGCTTTCGAAACTCCTAGACGCACGCATTACGTACGTTTATTAATCAAATGATTTTTCGTCGGTCAATAAATGGTACCTGTCCGTTGATATTTATAGGGATATCGAGCAGAACCCGATAATCGGGCGTTTCAACGTTGTGCGTCTAAAACAGCTTCAGGACAAAGTTTCAGCAATGCTGGACCACCGTTAGAAAGGAAAATGGCGAGCAACGGTCGATTTTAAATTCGACTAAGCGCAGCTCATTGCCAAGGTATGGTTGGGTGTGTCCACTGTTAACAGAACGAGAGGGAAAGCAAATCGAAAAACGTGGAATAATTTCTTTGCGCGTAATTTCTTTCGCATTTCCTTTGCGAGAAAACAGGCGTTGAAACTCAAGATATGAACATTTAATGGAAGTTTAGTAATGTTCCTCACAATTTGTCCCTACATTTAAGTAATTCTTATGGTTCCTCGTGTAGTTCCATTTATAGTTGTTGATTCATTTGTAGTAGTCATTACAGATAAAAGTTGAGATTTTATTACCATGTGTTAGAGTTGAAGAAAGCTCTCAAACTTCAATACAGTGAGAGGCAGAAATGGGGACAGAGTCAGAAATATTTAAGGAGCAATGAAGGTTTAAGTTCTGGAAAGAAGGAAGTTCTTCCAAAAAAATCCATGAAACGTACCCTCTTCCATATCTCCAACTCCCAACAAATATTTACAATTGTACTCGCAAAGTGGCCACGTACAAAACGCTATGCTTGAAAATAAAGTAGTGCTCGTCACTCAAAGAGGAAGACCAAAGTCACCTTTGTATAATTGACGAGGAAAATAGAAAAAATGGTAAGGCCAGTTAAGAAACGATCGTCACCGACCATAGAACATGTGTCTGCGCGAGGAAGCGTCCGAGCAATCGGTGGAACGTACCTCGAGCGTGGACGAGGCATCCGGGGGCCCCACCACGTGCAACCGCTATCAGAGTCAGACGAACCGATAGACAGTAAAACGGGCACGAAGTCGGGCGCAAGAAAGCCAAGAGTTAGTGGAGCGATCTTGGTTCAGTTACAGGAACCCCACCTAAAACCCCCTTCACCTTCATCGAGCGGAGTCAGCGGTAGCGTGCCGGTGGGGAACTTGAACGTCACTTTTCCAAGCCTCGGAGCTCATTATTAGCGCGGCGCCTTCCAAACATCCGGAGATAATACCACCTACCCGAGCGTTGCTACCACCTACCACCTACTACCCGACACTTTCTGCCACCACTCCAGCTGGTCCCGTGCGTCTCGTTCTGAAAAGGAGGTGAACGCGCGCGAGAGTGTATCATTGGACAAGGAATTGGGGCAGGAGCCAATAGTAAGGAGCGCGAGGTGGAGCGATAGGTTTTAAATAGGTGTACAAGAGCACACCGCGGATTACGGCCTAGCCGGGTTAAGACCGAACACGCGTGCCTTCGACGGATTTTCGGGATTGGAACAGTGACCTCGCGACGGGCACACGTTTTCCTCGTCGTGGTCACTGATCGGTGGTGGTAGTTCTCTCCCAGGGGATACTGGCGACGGTGTGAAACCCAACGAGAGAGAAGTGACAGTCCAGATAGAGCGGCGGGCACAAAGAACGTCTCAGTCGGCGCTGAGCCATTGCCTCAGCAAGTCTCACCAACAAGTTGGAGATCTAGTTCCGAGAGTTGAGCCCCGTGTTCGACCATGGAACTCCACGGAGGACGCGCGTTGATCGTCCTCGCGACCATCATCGTGTCCACGGGCATCGAAGCCATACGCGTCACGCAGACCGCCGGCAGGAGGAACGGTGAGTCATCTTCTTGCTCTTTACTTCTGTCCCTTTCTGTCCGATGCATCCTTGCCCGGATCTTCTTCTTTCCCATCTTCGCGTTTCCCTTTCCGCGTCAGTTGGTAGCGGCTTCGTATCCTTCCTCGTTTCACGGTCCTCGACCTTCTCTTCTTCCTGGTTCTCGTGCCCCGGTTCTGCTGTCTTCTCTTCTTTGCGTCTTCTCCTTTCTCAAGCCTGCCGTGTATCGAGACTCTGTCTATCCACATGGTTTCTCTCGATGGTAGCTAGCTACGCGCTACCGTGGATCTCGCGAGTGAAGTGTGCCTTATGTGTGCTAAACGTATCGACGAACAGTGAAACACGGTGTGTGCGTTCGATCAGCGGATAGATTTGTGGCGTAGATAAGCAGTTGTCGAAAGTAATCTGTTGGAAGTAGGCAGGTAGTCGTAGAATCACCTGGCGGAAGCAGGGACGCACGTGCGAGTGAGGGAATTTATTTTTTGGTGCTCGATGTTTCCTGGTCAAATTTAACTATGATGGGAACCGAAGGGTTAGTTTGATGTTCACAAAGGGAACATGTCTTGTTGGTATTAGGTGATTTGAATGCTTTACGTACGTCTATAGTTCATACTGACAACGTCAGGCTGATTTTGAGATTGAGTAGATGGGCTATAGATAGTGTCAAGCTCTCAGTAATATTTTATAAACATTTCAGGAAAGGCTAAGTTTCCTTCTAGACATTTGTTCACTTGTATTGTTGCATTTTTGGTTCAAAATAATTTGCGAAAGGATCGTTTTCTCTAAATAGTGTGAAAAAATAAGAACGTGAATGCAATGTGAAAATCTGATCTAAAACTTTCTGTGAAATGCGTGTGCAAGTAGTAATTTAATTGTGGGTAGGTTATTAATCTCTGGAGGCTCTGTAACTAGCGTAGGCTCTTAGACTAAGGCTAATGCCTTAATCAGGCTCTGTATAGGTAATTAAAATATGATATCGACATGACAGGAGTTCGTAATACTAATTACACCATGTGGCACGACTTCCATGTATTCAAAGTGAAATATTTTGAGTGCAAAATGTTCGTATAGGTAATGATTGGGACTTGCTACCCATACATCATCAAGAAAATTATTATTATTAATCGTTCACTTGGCAGAGTTGTAAAGTCACTTACATGTCTACTTTTATCCTGTTTGATTTTTCCTACTAGACTTATGGCTGATGCAATATCTCTTAGCTAACATGAACTAGCTAAGTCAAACATTCAAGTGATACGAGTTTGCTAATCTCATTACTGAGACTTTCTATTAAACTCTGCCTTAGATCTTCCATTTAAAGACCTTCTAATTAAGAAGATAGTTTGAAGCACTCCATGGTGTTAGGGCTTCTAAAAAAATAGTTTCACTTAACTTATTACGAAAAACAGAAAGTTCCATTATTAAAAGGAGTGCAATAAAATCTTGCAAATATATCAATTCTAATATAAATATCAGATCACCAACTCGCGGGAAATAACAACCAGCCTTTATTCTTCTTGGCCACGCGAATGCTTTATCCTTCGCCGGGGAGGTCGCCACAGATAGATTCTGGATAGAACGTGACCAGGCTGCGTACAGCCGCGATACATAGAGACGTGTTTTTCCCACGAGCGTCGAGTCTTCTGAAACTTACGAGGACGACTCTAACCTGATAAATGTCAAAGTAAATGTCAAACGAGGTTGTTGTCTCTCGCTGCCACAGAATCGGTTTCACTTGCTACCCGATGTTGCCCTACCGGAGTTCCGTTTCTCACGCACCCAAGTGTCCTCCGTGCATCCATTCTCCCTAGCAGGTGTGCTGCCTCGAAACGAGCCTATATTTATTCATTTTTGCTTAACGACTTTACTCGCCATTGTATTCTCGAAAACAATATGTACAGATAAATCGAAGTGGCTTTTTTTTTAGAAACGATAGGTGGCGTCGAACATTGATTTGTGAGACTTGTGATGATAATGTGGAAATATTGAATTGAAAGTGTAGATTTTGAAAAAGGTCACGCACGGCCAATTCAATTCAGTATTCCTACCCTCTATTGAAGAAATTTGTCGAAATTCAAATGAATTTTTCATTGTAAATATATACTATACCAAATCTGTCATTTAATTTAGACAAATGTCTTCAATAGACATAGAGAGTACGAATACTTATGGGACCGACTGTATGGCGTTTCTGAAATAATTTATTTCATAAATACACTAACTGAAAGTGAAATATAATAGAGAGCAGGTAGATAGGAAAAGAATGTTTGAAAAGTAGTACCAAGATATAAAAAGATTTAGACAGAACCGAGTCATTAAAGTATCATCACTATTTGAAGATAGTCTGGAGAGAAGTAAATTAATTCCCTCGATCTTCTCCGAGATGAATTAAGATGTTTCCTATGGCGCTATGCTATCGAGGACGTTCGGTGCCACGAGTGACCGTCTCGTGGAAAGTGACGGCCTGCGCAAAATGCGCGTAGAAATTCGCTTAACGATCAGCAATGCTCCACGTCAGAAACGAGTAACATTTTTCTATAAATGAAAATCTCACATAGCAAGTAAAAAATAAGGAACTTTGTACATATCAAATTAAAATTTGATTTGTACAGTTAAATATTCCAAAGTAGTTCAATAAAAACGTAACTGTTCCGTGGAAGAAAAGAATGTATGGTGTCTATGTGAGACAAATAATTTTTAATTTAACCATTTTTGGTCGAGACGGAAGACAGTGCTCGTGGCAGGAAGAGAGTGTGCATACCGTGCGACATAGCACCGTTACGTTTGAATACAGTCGCAAACATATCCTCGTATGGTATCTGGGTCATCGGAGGAATTAAGTCATTACTGTTTTCCGTTGATTCGATCGATTCGAGACGAAACGTCTTTTCCCGCGCAGCGTTTCACCAGTCCGGAATTTCTCGCGCTCTATTCGCTGTCAACTGGGGAAACTTTCGATTGCATACTATTCTACGCGAACACCTGCGTCACACGCGAGATTTACCCAGTCGTGACTATTAAATAGAAACCAATATGCTCCGATACGTGAAACTTGCACCAAGATAGGTCGATTGATCCTGAACTCCGACTAATTTTCTGTAGATTGCGATTTAATATCGATTCTATCTCTGGAAAAGACAGTTCGAAGCACTCCAAGGTGTTGGAGCTCTCAAAGAAATTAATTTGACTTCACTAATTAAGAAAACGGAAAGTATTCTTATATTAAAAAGAATGCAATAAATTCTTGCGGTTTCACAAACAGGTCACAAATATAATTTCAATTTTAACTCTCCTTAGAAGATTCACTGGAAAATGCAATCTTGAAAATGTTTAGTTTGAAACTAAAATTTCAGTAGAAAATGTTTAGCGTGCCAGTGAAATTGTATCGCTTGCGATAATTGGTATTTATTCGTGCAATTTATTTCCAATTGTTGCGTCGCTGTTTTGTAATTATATACATTTGAGACTTTAATGTTTCCTCGAGTGACGCATAGAACCAATCGAAAGGTTAACAATAATTTATGACATGCTCGCGAATCTAGGCTGCTTTTGAGTCTATAACTGATATTGCCGTCGATATTAATTTAGACGTGACTGTTTATGAGATCTTTAAAATTTCGCGTGCTTCTGATCCTCGGCGGTCGAATATGTCCTAAACTTATAAAAAGCCACGAGTGACACTGGCCTTTCGTAAGACACTAGGCGACTACTAGGTTCCAAGACCGCTGGCGAAGGCATAGCGCCGAGGGTGAGTGTGGGACCGAGGCACCCTGATTGGGCTTTATTTCCAAAACCAATGCCCATCGTCGTGCCTCTTGAGCTGCGTTCCATTTAACAGGGATGGCAACTGAGGTGAGGAGTGGCACTACGAACTGTCTTCGGTTGTCACCCCAACAGACAAAGTTAGTTCCGATTAAGACGGTCTCCGTCACTCAACTAGCAGGATAGGTGTCTAATACTAAATAAGCAGACACCGACTTACACAACAAGTCTCGGCCTATCGGGATTTACAACTCTGCGACAGATTTCTATATCCGCGAGATTTCTTTGCGCTGCGAGTCTTTCAACAGCCATCACCGTTGTAAAACTGTATAGTAGGTTTAAAAAGTTGACCAGTTCCTTAATCCATCCCAGAGGAGACGTGAGCACGATCGCAAAACCCAGCAAACGTTAGACGATCACCGCCTATGGGAGTAATTGCTGTAGTAATAGCAAGCGCGATTAATCGTTGTACACGTAGCGATTATATCTCTTATTTCTCTAATTTACCGAGGATCTCTGGCGGCCGACCTCCATTAAGTCGTTCGAAGAAACTCAAATTCGAGAGAACACGTAACAATTTTTGAGTGATTAAACATAGAATCTATTCTATCCCTAACAGTGTTATATTTTTAAATGATAAACTAATTTCCCTAACATGATGTTACTCATTACTTTCATTTTAACTCTCCTTAAAGGATTCACTGGAAAATGCAATCCTGAAAATGTTCAGTTTGAAACTAAAATTTCAGTAGAAAATGTTTAGCGTGACCTATTAATTTCATTTAATAGAACAGCCTTTTATGAATTGCTGCACGTTGGATTTGTTCGAATAATACTTCGACCATTTTTGGCGTAATTCATCGAAACTTTTTCGACTTCCAGCTGATTGGAAAAGCGTGACGACACCGTTGCATAATCGCAGAACCAAGGGCTATTAATTGGATGCCGACTCGCTAGTGTGTTTATGAAAAATTCATAGATGGAGCAGAACATAAATCAAACCGTCTAATCTTAATCTTAGCCGTCTAGTTACGGGATAAAAGATGAAAGTATTTAACCCAGATGGTTATCGTTGGGTTTGTGTTAAAATATTATAGTCTTTAGTCGCGATTTCCAACCGCGAAACGCTACCGCGTATCCATATTCGTTTTCAGCCATTTCATTGAAAATCTCGCGGGGTAATTGAAAATACACATTCGGTTTCTAATTTGTATTAGAATTACGTTTCTTCTTCTAAG